CTTTAATTGAACCTATGAATATATCAAAACAATTAACAAATTCTAGTACAAAACTAATGAATATTCTTGAAGTACGTTCATCAACATCATCCGATGATAAAAAACCTATTGATTCATCTTCATCACCACCATCATCAAATCATAGTGATTCAAAAAAAGATTATCAAGATTATTTAAATTCTACATTAACAAAAATTGAAGAATTAAATTCTCAATTTTCACCATTAACTATACAAATTGATCGTCAAATATCTGATGAAGGCTATCGTTCAGTTCGAAATGAACAACAACAACAAATAACAAGAACAACTTCTAATCATAATTTACCATCATTAACTAGATCAGAAAGTTATGATTCTACAGAAAAAGTTGATCAATGGTTATCAACTACATCACCGTTAGCTTCATCTTTACCTTTATCAATAAATTATAATACTAATTTTCAAGTATAATTAAATTGATTTTCTTAAATTTTGATAAAAAAAATTTTTTTGTTTTTTAAGCCAACTGATATTGATGATGAAGAATAAAATGTTAAAGCAAGAAACAATCTCGGTGTCTAATGATTGAGATTCGCTATTGAATTTAACCGTCCGTAGCAAACACAGTGATTCCTTTTTTTTTTTCTTTTTTCTTTATGCTCGCATTTCTTGCCAGCTTGTGACTCTTTTTGTCTCGTTATTTTCATAATGTTTGCTGCGTACTTTATGACCAATCTTGGTAATCAGACTGATTAGGTTTTTTTTTCTCTATTGTTAACAAATCGATAAATATCAGTTGTTGTTTGTAAATCTAACCATACCTGTGATTTATTATTATTTTTTTCTCTTTATCTTTATTTATCTTAGAATTAAAATTCTTGTTCTATTTTTTTTTTCTTGTTGTCGGAGATCGTTGTGTTTACTCTTAAAACATGGTCGATTGATTTTTTTTTTTTCTTTTTTTCGTTTCTCTTTTTCTTTTCTGTTCTGCTATTCAGTGTCAATGTTTGTACGTTGATCAAAAAAAAACAACACACAAACAAACCAATGATCGATTTAGAAGATTTTTACAGATATTTATTGGTAAACAAGTTGCCTCCTTTTTATTTTGATATATGCATTGGTTTGGAATGGTTTTTTTTTTTTTTTTTTTTTTTTTTTGATCAATAAGGGAATATGTCAAGTGTAGAAATATTAACATCTGTTTTTTTTAATATTCAGTCTGATTTGGAAGTGTTTAAATTGATCAGAGAATAAAGTTATAAGGGCAATACCGTGATTATATTCTCTATTGTTATTATTTATTTTCTATTGAAATTTTCAAGGATTTTTATTGATTGAAACAAATTGTTTTCAAGAGAAATTTATTGTAAAATAAAAATCTATCGTTCATATGCAGTGTAGAATGATAGATATTTAGTAGTGTTGTGCTTTGGTAAGTTTAACTTCAAAGTCAACAAATTTTAATAAAATATAAATAAAAGTTATGGACACTGAGAGACATCTTTTAGACTATTTAAAACTATTGGATATTTAATAGATAGCAAATATTCATCAGGATTCCTAAATTACGAAGAATATTATATGTTTCATTTTCAAGATATGATTATCTTTGTATACAGAATTCATTTTTTGTGCAAAAACATTTAGTAGATTGTAAATAACATCTATCATGTTAAACGTGTTATTATCAACTAGCTAAATTATTTGGTAAACTTTACTTTCAATAAAACATGTTGGTTCATTATTTACTATATTAAGAAATAATCCAATTTTATACGCACTAATTCGTTTAATAAAAAACAAAACCAAACATCTAAATGACTGTCGCCACAATTTAGTGACTTAATCAGAAAAAAAGTTATAGGGAGGTTCATCATCCTAATCATGTCTGTAGTAGAGGTGAAGATCCGTTGCAGACATATCTAGATGAAACACAAGCTCTTTTTTAAGCAAAACTGGACCGTATATAAAAGAGATCCAAAGCCTTGTAGCGCGAAATTGAGCAAACGCATATTTCCTTCTCGTCAGGATTTGCTCTTTCCTGTTCTATCTTGTTGTTCATTGTTAATAAGCTCTTCCTCTTTTTTTTGGATAACTTCAAATCTAGGTATGCCTACTATACTATACATAGCTATTGCTTTTGTTATATAAAATGTAGCAATTGAGTTTCGTTCGACAAACATAAAATCCTTAACTAACATTCACACAACGACGTATGTTTGAATCTAGCCGTTCTTTCATATAATTGATCTAATTTATTCATAATTAATATATCTCTTCTGTCTAATAATAATCAATTCAGATTTGAAAAATCACCAGCTAAAAGTTAATCTATTTCGACAATTAATTTACTTAAATTTTTCTTTTTATTCTTTTTAAGAATATATTGAGAAGGGATGTATACATAAGGTCTAGCTGACATTTTTTTCAAGATTGATTTGCATTACTTGAACAAGTGATGATAATTTTTAGCTTTCTTTTTTTATCATAAAAGTTCGATAGTAATAAGTATGATTTATCATTGCAAAAATTCCATTCAATTTCAACGATGATCTATTTTACTCTGATTATTAACAAAAACTTTTTGACATCATCTATTCACATTTGCAACTAAAAAAAGAAAGAATTGAATACTTATATATTTTTGTTCTCATAAATGTCAATACTGAAATTTCATTTTTCATTTATTTATAAAATCGAATATTTTATTGTAGCTTGCATCAGATTTAATTAAAAATGCATTTTCTTTTGTGTCAATAGGTTATTTGGTACTTAAAAAAATTTTATAATTCAGTTGAAATTTTTTTCTCTTGTATGTTTCATTGTTGTTTTCGGATCAAGTTGCACATTCTGCGACAGATCAGCAATTGACACTTCGCTTTCATCAACGAGTGAATTGATTATTTTTCTTAACCGATTCTTCTTGTATAAAGAACAGTGAATAAATTTTTTTTTGCATTTTTTTTTTCATGAAAGGGAATCAACAAGAGATGATGTTGGACAATGACGAAGTATTTTAAGTTTTTTTTTTTCTTATCCATTAATTTTATTTTTAACAACAACTGAGTAAGTGCATATATTGAACATGATCTTATTGTAGAAATAATAAAAGAAAAAGAAATCCATCGGTTTAGTCATTCTAATTTCTTTTGTTTTTCCATGATATAGAGAAGATATTTCTTAGAAATTTTAGTTCAACACAAAGTCTTCACAAAACAATTATTGTTTAGTCACCGTAAAAAAAAATATCTGAAGAATGAAGAATAATGTTGTGAATCTAATTATTTTTCAAATCATAAACTTCAGAAGAAAATTTCATTAAGATAAAAGAAAAACTATCTATAAAATCAATACAATATTTCATATGGTTATTGTCACATAAACTAAAATTTCACTTGGAATAGAAAACCCTCATGAAGAAACAATATGCCGAACGTACCAGAAGACTACTGTTAATTAATTGATTGCTCGCTAAATTGAAACTTTTACTATAGTTTGTTTAAAAAGTTCGTGCGTCTGACTGTTTTTTGAATAACTCGAGAATGCAAACAGTTAGAGACCTGCAGTTCTCACCAATCGAAAGAAAAGGAGTTAGGGCGTCTCTCTCTCTGTTAATAATGTCTCAGACGAAATTCTTTTAAAACTGATCATCTTTGAAAAATATAGAAAAGAATGCATGAAAGTGACATACAATACACATGAAGTTTCGATAATGACCTTTGATTTAGATAGAGGGACCTCAGATCTATAGTTCAAGATGCAACCCAAATGGCTCTCTAGTTGCATCCTAACGTTGACCAAATGAAATCATGCATTTATATGCACAAATAATAGAGAAGTTTGCTGATGTTTTACTACGTTTTTGCAGTTTTTGTCATAACAGCTGGATACTTCGATGAAAATGTAATGAAACGTAAGAAAATATATTATGTTTTGAACTATAGATCTGAAGTCCCTCTATCTAAATCAAATGTCATAATCGAAACTTCATGTGTATTCTATGTCACTTTCATGCATTCTTTTCTATATTTTTCAAAGATGATCAGTTTTAAAAGAATTTCGTCTGAGACATTATTATCAGAGAGAAAGACCCTCTAACTCCTTTTCTTTCGATTGGTGAAAATCGCAGATCTCTAGCTGTTTGCGTTTTCGAGTTATTCAAACAACAGTCACACGCACGGACTTTTTAAACAGACTATAATATCCATTTCAAAAAAAAGAACCCTGAGTATTTTTTGAATAACTTTTGATAGAAAAGAGATGGAGAGCTGCGGTTTTCACCATTCAAAAGAGCGATGTCCGGACCATCGATCGCTATAGAAATAATAAAGACGAAAGATATTTTTTTATAGGCATCTTCTGATCAACACTTTTTCCTTTGCATATTTTCATCAATTCTCATAATAATCTCAACTCAAATTATATCAAAATTTACCTCGAATCACATGTTTTTCGCCATAAAATTAACAATTGTTTTTTTTAAAATCCACATACAATAAGAAGTTGAGAGATAATAAAAACTGTCATAACTTTATAGCGAGAAAAGTATGATTCGAGCTACATTTTGACATAATATGAATTGAGATTATTATGAGAATTGATGAAAATACGCAGAAGAAAAAGTGTTGATCAGAAGATGCCTATGAAAAAACGTCTTTCGTCTTTATGACTTCCATACCGATCGATGGTCCGAACATCGCTCTTTCGAATGATGAAAACTGCAGCTCTCTATCTCTTTCCTATCAAAAGTTATTCAAAAAATATTCAAGGCTCTTTTTTTAAATGGATATTAGCGAAATTCCTCTAATTAGTATACAGACTCAATGCTGGAAACTATACGTTTTACTAAGCAACATGTCCGATGAACAAAGGTTTTTTTTTCGTTTGGTTCCAGAGTTAGAACTATCTAAAAATTTGTTAATATTTTGAAGCAGTATGTTTTGATGCAAGCTGAATTTTTAGATCTAGTGGTGTATTATTGAGTGGTATATTTGATTAGATCAAATTCGAATCTTGATGGCTACTTTACATTCTCCACGAGCAAAAGATGCTAATAAAAATCGAAGTGCTCGACGATCACTTGTTTCTGATGCATTTCTTTTGTCAACAGGGGAATCAACTGGACATAAGATAAGTCCAATTAACATTACAGATGAAATTTATGAAAGTGTTATTTTTATTTGGTTCGATCCACATGAAAATTTGAATACACATCTTATGGGACCACTTCGAGCAATTAATTTTAATGTTCAAACTTTTACGGATCCATTAGCCTGTTTTGATACTATAAAATCTTCACAACAAAAAATCTTTTTCATATCTTCATTATGTAATAATGAATTGATTGCTACTGTACATGATTTTAATGCTGTCGAAGCAATCTTTATACTTGATCCGAATAATGAAAATATTAAAGGTGATTTTCCAAAACTTTTTGGTATATTTAATCAACAAGAAGAATTACTTCGAATGCTTAAAGAAGTATTTAATACTTTTGAAGAAATACAACTTGAAGAATTTGCATTTGAACAAGATAAAGTATTTCTTTGGTCACAATTATGGAAAGAAGATGTAAGTAAAATAATAATTGAAATTAAACATTAAAAAAAAAATTCATTTAAGATTATTTTATTTAATAACGTTTTTGGGTGTGGATTGTTTTTTAGTTGATAAATCGAAAAGGATCATCAAATAGAAATGATCTTATTGAAATAGCTCGACGCTATTATCGAGACAATACTCGAATAATTGAAATTATTGAAGAATTCGAAAAATCATATCGACATGCTGATGTCATTAGTTGGTGTTTTCGTTCTCCATTTCCTACACGTTTTCTTCTTCATGCACTTCGTTCTCACAATAAAGCACAACTTAGTGTCTGTCGATTTCTATTTGCTGATGCATCACGCTTCTTTCAACAACATTCTAAACATAAATCAAGCGATCAAGTTTATCGTGGTATGAAATTATCAAGTGAACTTCTTGATAAATTTGAAACTCATGTTGGTCAACTTATTTGTACAAGTGGATTTTTTCCTTGTACTAAATCAAGAACAAATGCATTGACACTTGCTTCATTACCGACATATCGTCCTGATCTTTTATCTGTTTTATTTAAAATTGATTGTGATGCATCATCTTTATTTACTGAATTATCAAATAAACATTCAACATCATTGATTGCATTTGATGCTTGTATGGCATTTCGTATTGTCTATGTTAATCGTGGTCAAATGTCAACTGTAAAATTGAAAACAGCTGGTGATGCTGGCAAAAAAATAGCTTTAGAATATTTAGAAAAGCATCCGAATGAAACAATACAATCATTACGTGATGAACTTTTGAAACCTCCCAAACCACCGACACCACCTCCTCGAATACCAACGCCACCTCCTCCAAAACAACTTACTCCTCCTCCACCACGAACACCAACACCACCTCCAAAACCAAAGTCAGCATTAGTTCACATAAAAAACTCAATGTACAAAAACATGTCTATAGAGTAGCTTGAATAATTGTTCAATTTTGTTTTCCTTTTTTTGTTTTTAGAGACCCAGTGATAAGTGTTGAAGAAATAAAAGCACAGAAATATGCAGAACAAGGAGACATTGATATGGCTTTAATAACTTATCAACGTATTCAACCTGTTACAGTTCGTATACTCAATGCCATGGGTCAATTATCTGCCGATAGAAAGGGCGATTATGATTATGCCTTGCAATGTCATCAACAGGCTCTTAAACTTCAAGAAGCGGTAATTTAATGAATCTTAATTGATTGTAAATAAAGTTTTTTTTTTTTTTTTGATAGTCTGGTGAAAATATTTCTGATACTCTCACTTATCTTGGAAATGTTTATCAAAGTCGTGGTGAATTCGATTTAGCTTTAGATCATCATACACGTGCACTCGCATTACATCAAGTTAATCCAACAACTGAATCAGTGGCAATCGCCTCTAATCTTATTGGAATTGCTAAAGCTCGTTGGGGTCGTCATGAATATTCTGAAGCAATTGCTAATGGTGAACGAGCATTAGCTTTGCAAGAAACTCTTATACCTCCAAATGAAACAAGTATAGCTACTACTCTAGCTTTACTAGGTAACATTTATCAAGATTCTGGTGATAGTACTCATGCTATTGATTTATGTACAAAAGCACTTCCCCTTTTCGAACGTACCGTACCCAATGATTCACTCATATTAGCTGAACTACTCTATAAGCTAGGCATAATGCAGTCAAGTTCAGGAGCGTTAGATGATGCACAACGATGTTTAGAACAATCATACAAAATTTATCGAAAACTTCTACCTAGAGGACATCAAGACCGTATGTCGACAGAAAATGAACTTCGACGTGTTATTCAATTACGTCAAAAGAACAAACAAAAGTCACAAACAAATTCATGAATATTCCTTTTTTGCTTTAAAACTAATTTTGCAATTTGAATTATCAGAAATATTGAAATATAATTTTAAAAAAGAAAGAGAACTGTTACATATTGGAGTTATTACTTCAATTAGACTCACACTACTTTTTTTTTTGAAATTAAAAGATTGATTCACTACAGATTAAAAAGCAATTGATGTATCGAAAAAAAGCTATCTTGATAGCTATAAGTTCGTTTGTGACTCTAAATCTATATCATAAAAACAAAATATAAGATTTCCCCTAACTTCCGACAGATGATCTTTACTTTATACCAGAGATGCTCATCGTGGCTATAAATATGCCGCTACCACGACTCGGCGAACTATATAAAAAGTTATCGCTACCGCGATGGTTTTCGAGAAACTCTGCGAAAATCTCTTCCACCACTGCGTTAAACTAGCACAATTGGATTGAATCCATAAGATTCAATCTCAATTTTAACTATTGAACTTGTAGACATTCAACTTTGGTACCAATTCATCCAATTTTACAATCTCAATAAAAAAAAAGCTACCGCTGATGCTGTCGCGGTAGCACCGCTATAAACATCTCTTTTTTATACTAGCTATGCACTATTGCAGCTCAACTTGGCACCAGTCTTCTAATCGAAAACTTCATCTGTGATATACATGTTAGTAGAGTCTATCGATTGATAGTCTAAAAGTAACAGCCAATTACAACTTGATTATTATAAGATCATCGGCAACATTTTCTGACAAATGTGTAGGCTGTGTTAGTAGCAGAATAGAAGTAATCGATCAAAAGTTTCTTTCATCTGTGGAGTAACTATCAAACTCAGGCTAAAAAATTCTGTTGAAATTAGAAGCACAGTTCACGTCTGAGATCGAGAATGTTGGACTCGATGAGTCTCGTGATCAATCGATTGGTTCCGAATTATGATTGGTTCATATTCATCTTGCATTTTTCTTTTATATAGGAATCATCAATCTCGATCATTATCAGAAATCATAAGATACTTGTAGAGATAAGTATTCAGTCTGTTCATTACTAATAAAATTTAAAAAAATAGTTTCAATTGAGATTTTTAGTTCAACAGCAATGGTTTATCTATTGAAACTGATAACATATAAAGCGCGACAAAGTTACTGAATAACATCAAAAACAGAACAGTAAGAATAGTCGCAAAACAAAATTTATCGTGTAAATTTCTTTTTTGCTTTTTCATTGCTTAAATTTTTAAAGATCTTAATTTTTCGTTCTTGTTTTGGTCGCATAAATCCATTTTTCGATTTTGATTTCAATCCTTTTTTGCTTTGATAAACTCCTTAAAAATAATAAGTAAAAATTATTTAATAGAATAAAATAAATAAATTCAAGATAATTTACCAATATCAACAACAGGTGGAACACGAAAACCAAAACTATAAGCAACTTTAACCAAATCCAATTGTTCAACATTGTAAACATTTTTCATACTATGACTTGCATAAGCTCTAACATATGCTTTATATGCATCTTTTGCACTCAAATGAAGAAAATAATTTTTTTCAATTAATTTTTCCAACTAAACAAAAATAATAAATTTCATAATAATATTAAAAAATAAACAAAAAAAAACATACTTGAGGTTGAATATCAGCAATTTTATTCCATGAAAATTCAAATTCACTTAATGTTACTCGTGCTTGTTTGAGATAAAGAAGAAAACCAAGTTCTTGTGGTGTTAAAATCAGTAATGCATGACCATTTGCACCAGCACGTGCTGTTCGACCAACACGATGAATATATTCCTAAAAAGAAAATTTTCAATAGAAACAAAGAACATAACTAGTAGCGGACATATCTTAATTCCTTATAAAAATCCTAAAGACACTTCTCTTTATATTATCTGATAGTAAAAAAACAATATTCTACATTTACTCTAATATTTAATCGCTCTTCAACTAATAAAATTTCAATAAGAATTGTTTCCTATGATGTGTAACTATCATATTAGATCACATCTTCTCTTGATGCTCTTTTTTCTTTTCTCGTCTTCGCTAATGTCAAACTATTTCTACATATTAAAGTATACAAAAAGTGATATCAGCAAATCAGATTTTTGATTATTCGATTTGATCAAACAAAATCTAAATAATCAAAACGATTCCAAGTCGTTACATCCTATACTGTAAATAAGTTCCGAAATTTTTTTTGAATAAAGCATTCTATAAAAACATTCAATAAATGGATTCAACGACTGTCACCACTTTTCTATACCCTGATATGTATAGACAGCTAGGTATTAGAGAAGAATCCAGGTCAAGAAATATGAATTTCTAGCCGTAAAACTTGGGAAAATGATAGGAACTTGAAAGCAGGAATCCAGTGATCGGCTCCGCGCGAAACTACAAAAATTCAACCATTGTTTTGAGTTTTCCGGCCGGAAATTCATAGATTTAGGCGTCGAAATTATTTGCCTGGATAGAAGATACACATCGAAAACAAAACGTAATCGAATATTAGTATCACATATCATAATAAACGAGACTTTATTAATTAAAGAATGATTAAATATCAGAGAAATGTGGAGTATTATTTTTATTATGACTTATATAATTAATTTTCAAATAAAAAATTTTACTTTTGGATCATCTGGCGGATCAAATTGAATAATCCAATCGACAGCTGGAATATCTAAACCTCGTGCTGCTACATCCGTACATAATAAAATTCCAGTTTCAGCATTACAAAATTCAAAAAATGTATGTGTTCGTTTAGCTTGTTTTTGTTTTCCCTTTAAAATAAAAAATTTTTTTAAATAAATATCTGAATAGAAAAAATAAAATCTTTTACATGAATACTTAATACAGGTATATCAATATAATTAAGTAATTCATTATAATATTTAACAGCCATACATGATGAAAAAAAGACCATCATTTTTTTCTTTTGATTTTTTTTTAAAAATGTAAATAATAAAAGAAAACGTTTATCTTGTGGAACAACAACATAACCCTATTAAAAACAAAAAAATAAATATTTTGATTTATTTTTAATTATTTAAAACAAAAAAAAAATTACTTGTTCAAGTCCTTCAACAGTTGCTTGCTCACTTGTATCATCAACTCCAACATATAATGGTTCTTTTTTAAGAGAAATTTTTGCTAAATCTTCAGTACGTCGTGTTTGAGTGGCGGAAAATAACATTGTTTGACGACGTTCTACAAAAATTTAAATAAATATATTTTTAAAAATTCTGTTTATTATTTTTCTTTTTTTTTTTTCTGTATACTTGGTAATAATTGAATAATTTGTTTCATTTCTTCTTCAAAACCAATATCTAAAATTCTATCAGCTTCATCAATAATTAAACATTGTAAATTTTTATACATAAAATCATTTGTATTCTATGAACAAAAACAAAAGGATAAGAAAACGAAATTATTATTTTTTTTTTATTTCATCAAAATTTTACTTGAAGATGATCGAGTAAACGACCTGGTGTTGCAACTACAATATTCACACCTTTAACAAGTTTTTTTACTTCATCTTGTCGTCCTGTTCCACCCATAATTAAACCATATGTATGATGATGATAAGCTAATAATTCTTTTAATACAGAATATGTTTGCATTGCTAATTCACGTGTTGGTGAAATTATAATTACACCAGTACCATTACGAGGCATAAAACGTAATTTATACATTAATTCAACAACGGGAATAAGAAAAGCTAATGTTTTACCCGAACCCGTTTTAGCCGAAGCGAGTAAATCACTAGAATTATTACAATTATAGAATTAATAGTTCAATATGTTTTTTATTCTTTTTTAAGAGACTAATGACTTCATTTTAGATTTCATAGAAAATTTTACATTCTAGGAAATGATATACCTGTTAATATTGCATAATCGGCACTATTTATCGAGCACATAGGCATAACTCATTTTCTGTCAAAAACGAATTTTTTTCATAGAAATTATAGTTTCTTCTACTCAAATATAAGATTGATAGAAAATTTCTGAGATGAACTATTACCCTGAATTCTTGTGAAACAATTTTTTATGTTAAAAATTGATACATGATACATCGCTCGATGTAGTTTTTGACTTTATATGTCGTTATTTTTCTCTCAACTTGCATCTATGACAAAGAAATAGCAAAAAAAAACCTTTAACAGCCAAAGTCTTTAGAAAACTTGTATCTCAGTTCAGAAGTATCTACATATATTTGCATCAATGGAGTGTATGTCTCATTTTATAGAAGAACATTCTTTAAAAGTTTTCTTGATATCGGATTAGTGGAAAAAAAGAGTCGCAGTCAACTTTACTGAAAATGTTCAGCGTAAAAAGAAGAATTATTTTTTCAGCATGAAAAATTTTCTTATAAATCAATAAAATCCCAGTTTCAGACTATATATGATTTATTGTCTAACTCTTTTTATTTTCCACTGAAGATGATGAAATTTAACCTTTTTTTTTTATCGAAAATCAAGTCGTTAATCAAAATGTATAAGTTATTATTCAGAATCTCGAAAAAGATCACTTTTATCCATATTATTGCTCACTGTGTATTTTGTTATACTCTTCATAACTAATCATACATGTTTTGATAATTTCTATCGATAGAAACTTGAAACATTGATCGAATGATATCTTATAAAACTTTATTGTTAATTTACTATAAGGACTTTATGAAAAGCAAAGTAAGTAAAGCTCAAAATTTAATCTACAACTATTTCATCATTCGATCGAAATATGTAATATATAGATGATTGTAGTAGACAATTTTTTGATTATTTATAAAGAGTATGAGAACATAAAAAGTTTATCGTCTTTTAAAGTAACAAGTTCTTCTATCGATTAATCCTAAAATGAAGTCATCAGTATGTTAGAAAGTACTCTAAACTGAAGTAAATATTTTCATTGATTTATTATATATCAAACGTTATTTACTTACCGTCCTTCGAGTAATGGTCCAATAGATTTTGCTTGAATTTCAGTCATTGTTGTTAATTTCATTTCATTAATTGCTTT